GTAGACCTGCCCCCTGTGGGGGGAGAGTCAGGACATTGCCTCTACGTGGTATCATGACATCACGTATGACTGTGTTGGAATTGTATGACACAGGATGAGCCTGTCATTGCAACATAACCCGTGACACACAGGAGGCAGGATCACATGTTGCTCAGCTCCTCCCTGCTGCTGTTCATGTCATTAATGATGACATTGAAGCTGAAACAAGCCCAGCTCGTTGCTTTCTAAATATAAACCTTGAAGGGGTTTCCTTTCCATAGTGTCCATCACCTCCATGATGGTTTCCCATTGTTTCATACCTCATCGACTCTACCTGAAGTGTGGTCCCAGCAACCAATTTGTGCACAGCAGGATCCCACATCCTACAGATTCATAGATTCATGCAGTGCAGAAAAGACCCTTCAGCCCATCGAGTCTGCACTGTCATAACTACCACTGAAGATGTACTAACTCCAATTTCCTTCACTTCTCCCATATCCTTGAATGTGATGATATTTGAAGTCAGAAATCACAGGACACCAGGTTATAGTCCAACAGGTTTATTTGAAATCACAAGCTTTCGGAGCATAGCCCCTTCATGTTATGTGTTACAAAAAGTAACCTGATGAAGGGGCTGTGCTCCGAAAGCTTGTGTTTTCAAATAAACCTGTTGAACTATAACCAGGTGTCATGTTATTTCTGACTTTTTCCACCTCGGTTCAGTAATGGCACCTCCACATCATATTTTAAGTAGTCATTTGAAATATTTTTTAAAAGTTGTAAGGTTTCAAGCCTCCACTACCCTCCCAGGCAGTGCATTCCAGATTCCCACCACCCACTAAGTGAAAAAGTTTTTTTCCACAAATCCCCTCTGAATTTCCTGCCCCTTACCCTGAAACCATGTCCTCTCATGATTGACCCCTCAACCAAGGGGAACAGTTGATCTCTATTCACCCTGTCTATACCCTTCATAATCCTATATGCCTCTGCTTTCTTTGCTGTAGAGAAAACAATCCAAGCCTATCTAGTCTCTCCTTATAGCTCAATTTCTCCATCCCAGGCAACATCTGGTGAACACAAACAGAAATTGCTGGAAACGTTCAATCTGGGTTCTGAGAGGGTCACCAGACCCAAAACATTAACTGATTTCTCTCCACGGATGCTGCCAGACTTGCTGAGCTTTTCCTGAAATCAGAGTTAACATTTCAGGTCCAGTGACCCTTCCTCAACCCAGGTTGAGCTTTTCCAGCAATTTCTGTTTTTGTGTCTGATTTACAGCATCCACACTTCTTTCAGTTTTTAATATCCTGGTGAAACTCCTCTGTACCCCATCTAGTGCTCTCACATCCTTCCTGTAGTGAGTTGACCAGAACTAGATACAGTACTTCAGCTGTGGCCTGACCAACGGTCTGTACAAGTCCAGCATTACCTCCTTGCTGTTATACTTCATGCTACAACTAACGAAAGCAAGTGTCCCATATACTGCCCTAACTATCCTATTTGTGTGCTCTGCCAACTTCAGGGATCTGTGAATAATCACTCCAAGACCCCTCTGTTCCTCTGAGCTACCCAGTGTCCTGCCATTCATTAAATATTCCCTCATTTTGTTTTTTCTTCCAAAGTGCATCACCTGTCACATGTTAGACCATCTGCCACTTGATATGCCCATCTGACCAACCCATCTATATCTTCTTGTAACCTACAACCATCTTCTTTGCTATTAACCATTCTACCAATTTTGGTGTCGTCTGCAAATTTGCTTAACATTCCTCCCACATTTTCATCTATATCATTTATGTAAATAACAAGCAATAAGGGTTCCAATACTGATCCTTGTGGTACACCGCTGGACACCGGCCTCCAGCCATTCAAACAGCCTTCCACCACTACCCTTTGTATCCTATTACTAAGCCAGTTTCTGATCCATCTTGACAAGTTTCCCTCAATTCCATGTGCCTTAACCTTCTCAAGAGGTCTGCCATGTGGGATCTTGTCAAAAGCTTTGCTAAAATCCATAAAAACTGCATCAACTAAACCTCCCTCATCCACATACTTGATCACATTTTCAAAAAAATTCTAACAAATTTGTTAGGTATGATCTTCCTCTGACAAAACCACATTGACTGGCTCTAATTAACCCATACTTTTCCAAGTGGGTGTATAATTCAGTCTTACAGAATTTTCTGCAATAGTATCCCTGCCACTGATGTGAGACTCGCTGGTCTGTAACTTCCTGGTTCATCTTGACCACGCTTCTTAAAAAGTGAAACCACATTAGCCATCCTCCAGTCCTCTGGCATTTCCCCTATGTCCGAGCCCCTGCAATTTTTGTGGAGTGAGACTGCCATATGTTCGAGATATTAATATCAGCCAAAATGCTGCAGAAAGTGTGCCTGTGGCTTTGTGAACATTGAGCTGAGAAATCTTCAGTTTATTGTCTGAGTTGAGAGGCAGTAAAGAAACTGCAGCGAGGGTAGCAGGCTCTCTCTCTCTCTCTCTCTCGAGTGCCTCCAGTCTCCTGGCCTCATGTCCTCCTGCTAGGACCAGGAGGAGGCCATTCAATAATATTATCCATTTTCTTGACCTCTCCCCTTATCCTTTTGTTTCCCTTAATATTTTTCAGAAATATATACTTCTGTTCATTAAAATTGTAGAGTTATGTTTAATATCTGTTCAGAGTTGTTACTTGAATGCAGTGTATTTAAAGTGTGTCTTTACAGTGTGTATTTCCATTTTATGTTAAATAATCTCTGGGGTGTATACCCCAGGTGTTTTACACAGATCCCTATAGCAGTAAGCTTTCCCCATTGCCCCCAGCTTCACTGTGTCCCTCAGCAGGTGGTCCTGCACCAGTCTGCAGCACTCAGTCAACGACAGCTGTTTACACAGGAAGAACCAGTGAGGTACAGACAGACCAAAGAGCATCTTTCATTGAGTTGATGGTCCTCCAGGTACAGTCAGTGTTTGTCTCGGTTTGTGTCCTGGGGACCAGACTGTGGAGCACAGAGTCCCGTGTCACGGAGCTGCTTGGGACGAACCTCGACAAAAACCACTGGATCTCTCTCCAGACCCTGTTCTCACATTCCAAAAGGAGATGTGTGAGAGCCTCCTCCCTACCACAGCCCTCCTTGAGGGCAAATTGCAGAAAGGGTGAGACTCTAATTATGCAGACATATCTGTCTGGGAGATCCATCTATACCATCACCCAAGCTGCTTCATTTTAGAACATTCGAACAAGCACAATGAGGCATAACTTGGGACAGTTTACACAAGGAACAATTCCACAGGATCCACTGTCTCCTGTTCCCACAGGGGCCTTGGGGTCATTAGGTGTGGATCAGAGCCTGATGAACTATTTGAAGGTGTCTGCCCACACCTACCTGATTCCCCATCCCATTCCCCTATCACTCCTTGCTCACTGACCAGTATTGGTCCCTGGCCAAGTATTATCTTAATTTCAAAACTCTCAACCTTGTTTTCAACTCCCACCATTGTCTCACCCGCTTCATATCTCTGTAATCTCTTCCGGTCCCATAAATCTCTGAGATCTCTGCATTCCTCAAATTCCAGCCTCTTGTGTATTTTTAATACAGTCGCTCCACCACAGGAGCTATGTGCCTGGCTGCCTGGGGCCTGAGCTCTGGAATTCCCTGTCTACACCTCTCTGTCTTACTCTGTTCTCACAATGTCTCTTCAAATCTTCCCAGCTTTTGGTCACCTGACTTAACATGCTTTTGTTGCTCAACATCAGACTTTGTTTTATAATATTACTGTGAAGTATTTCAGGGTGCTTCTATACAGTAAAGGTGCTATATCAATCAAAGTGTGGTCTTGAATAGACTCCTACCGTGAGATTATATTCAAGTCAGAACAGGCACGACCTCATGATACTATTTTAGAAACCATCATTCAAAATGTTGTCCCTTTATTTTTCATGACTTGTCACATGTTTGGGTGCAAATGAACTTTTTAATTCATGTGAAGCTAAACCCTTTCTTTCTGATGGAGGTAGTTGGAACAAAGCTGCCTGACCAGAGAGAGTGGGAGAAACAGAAGCTTGGAAAGTTTTTAAAAGGTACTAAAGATGCCACAAGGATTGGTGCTGTGTCCACTGCTTTTTGTCATTTATAGAAATGATTTGGATGTGAATATAGGAGGTATGGTTAGTAAGTTTGCAGATGACACCAAAATTGGAGGTGAAGAAAATTGTCTCAGAATATAACGGGACCTTGATCAGATGGGCCAATGGGCCAAGGAGTGACAGATGGAGTCTAATTTAGATAAACGTGAGGTGTTGCATTTTGGAAAAGGCAAATCGGGGCAGGACTTATACAGTTAATGGTAAGGTCTTGGTGAGTGTTGCCAGTCAAACAGGTGGAGGGGATGCAGGTGCGTAGTTCCTTGAATGTGGATTCGCAGGTAGATAGGGTGGTGAAAGTGGCGTTTGGTACGCTTGCTTTCATTGGTCAGTGCATTGAGTATAGGAGGTGGGAGGTCATGTTGTGGCTGTACAGGACATTGGTGAGGTTGGTTTTAGAATACTGTATACAACTTACAAGGATGTTGCCAGGATTGGAGGGTTTGAACTATAGGGAGAGGCAAAATAGACTGGAGCGCTGAAGGCTGAGAGGTGACCTTTATAGAGGTTGAGCATGGATAGTTTGAATAGCCAAGGTCTTTTACCCAGAGCAGGGAGTCCAAAACTAGAGGGCACAGGTTTAAGGTGAGAGGGGAAAGATTTAAAAGTTGCCCCTTAGGTCCTTTTTTCACACAGAGGGTGGTGTGTGTATGGAATGAGCTGCCAGAGGAAGTGGTGGATGCTGGAACAATTACAACATTTAAAAGGCATCTGGACAGGTACATAAATAGAAAGGGTTCAGAGGGATATGGGCCAAATGCTGGCAAATGGGACTAGGTCAGATTGGGATGTTTGGTTGGCCTGTCCGAGTTGGATTGAAAGGTCCATTTCACTGTGCTGTGTGACTCTGTTAGTCTGTTTGAAAAACAGACGTTTAACAAAGATGTGGTCAAAAGACAGGCTTTCTCAGATTTCTAAAACTGTCTTCATGGTAATGTTACCCCAAGAATATTACTCCAGGACATGTTCCACCATCTCTCCAAATGTCTGCAAACTGCAGTGACTCATCTCCAGCAAGCTTCATTTTCAATAAAGCCAATTCCTTCGCTGATGGACCTATTGCCTTTTGATCTCCTTGTACCCCAGTCACACTCTGTGTGAAAGGACATCTGGATATTCTGGCAGAGTTGTAACCAGAGGTCATTGGCACGTTGTCTTGCAGTCTGTTAGACTTGCATCTGAGTGACTCTTCAAGCAGTCAGAGTATTCTCTCTTTGATCTCTCTTGTAACTAATGAGGGCAGACCCTTACCTTCAACGACTGTTTCCATTACAGTGGTGTTAACCTCAAATAAGTCAATCCCTTTTCCATTTGTGCTTCCCATATGTTGAGATCGCTGTGTTATTGATGGAGTTTTGAAGTCTGTTCGATTTCCCTCCCGTACTCTGTGTGGGGACAGCAGTAGGAGTCTGGCCCATTGAGTTGGTTTGTATCTGGGGGGAGATGGTGTGACTGGTGCTAACACGAGGGAGAGGTCCTTCCTACCTTGAACGGAGGGACTTGGAGAGTGTGCTGAGGGCAGTGTGGAGCTCCGATCTGAGCTGCTCTATCACCTCCTGTGGAGGAGCACTGTGTTGGGGCAGGGTTAGGCAGGTAGTTGCCTGGCTATGTTTGAGTTGAGAGGTGGATGGAGAGAACTCTTCCTCAACTGTGTGTGGGAGGCTTCCTCACCAAGAGGAGTGGGTTCCTCCTCAGAACTGTGGCCCTGCAGGATGGATTCCTGCCAGTGAACCGTTCTCGGCAAGCCAGTGATCCCACTCTTGTTGTGCCAGTGATCCACTCTCGGCAAGCCAACTTTCCTGTACTAAGGTGAGGTCAGTGTTGAGCCTCTCCACATGGAATCACTATTGATTACAGCCATTGAGTGTGTTATTGGTGGCTGCAGGTTATCTCTCAGTCCCTGATGTTCCAGCTGAACAATCCTGGAGTTGGCATCTCCTTCCTTTTGGGCTGTGATGTTTGTTTACTGAATGCAAAGGATGCTGGTCCAGCCAGAGGCTGAATAAAAAGATGTCAGGTAGCCTGTCCATTGTCAGTCTGTCTCTCTATGTCACTCTGAAACTTTCGTCTGGACTTGAAAGAATCCAGTTTCTCTGTGTCACAATGGCAACAACCTGTTTGAGGGCCGATTGAGGGGCAGGCTGAAACCTGACAGGGAACGTCTCGCTGTCTCTCATGCTCTCACGCTGTCTCTCTCGCTCGCTCACACATACTCTCGGGGAGTTGTTTTGCCGATTGGGATCAGCAGGAAGGATGTTCCTGATGGTAGGGGATTCCAGAACCAGTGCTCACAGTCTCAGCATTACCAGGTCAGCTATTTTGGACTGAGATGTGGAGAAATGTCTTCACCCAGAGAGTGAAAGGGGAGCCTGTGGAATTCTGTCCGAGCTTGAGGCGAAAACATTGAATGTTGTTCAAAAAGGAGTTAGATATAATTCTTAGTGTTAAAGGGGTCGAGGGGGTGGGGTGGGGGGGGGGGGGGGGGGAAGCAGGAGCAGGGGACTGAGCTAGATGGTCAACCATGATCATATTGAATGGTGGAGTGGGCTCAGAGGGCTGACTGGCCTACCCTGCTCCTGTTTTCTCTGGTTTTTAATATAGATCTGGGCCAAAAGGCCTGCTATCGGTGATGATGTTATTTGATGATTTGAGCCGTACAGTTGGTTTGTCCTCTCACTCTAACTGTTTATATTGTGGGGAGAACTGTCAGTGTTTTAGATTTTCAAATGATTGGATGTGCTTTTCTTTCCAACCACTGCTTCCTCAGGGCTGGGTCCATTCAGTGGCCTGTATGTGACTAAGGTGGGGGCTAGATTGGAGAGACATTACTGTTCTCTGGTCTTGCTGTGACACCTCCTCCTTTTCATCTTCCCTCTGCCACCCTGGCTCTGACCCCATGTACCACCTTGCCTTATTTTCAGGGCTGCAATCCATATGCTCAGACTGGGCGTAGCAAGTTGCAGAGTCAGAGAGTGACCCTCAATCAGCAGATCATTAAAGCCATGAGACTGCGGGCTGGAGCTGAGAACCTCCTTCGGTAAGTCCTGTCTGTGTCTCTGTGTGCGTGTGTGTGTCTGTCTGTGTCTCTTTCTCTCTCTGTGTCTCCATGTATGTCTTTCTGTGTCTCTCTCTCTCTCTCTCTGTGTCTCCATGTGTCTGTGTCTGTGTGTGTCTATTTGTCGCTGTCTTTCTCTCCTTCCCCACCCCCTCTCTGTTTGTCTCCTTCTGTCTCTATGGGCAGAGAGACTGTTTGACCTGTTGGTGGCCATAGTCCCTGGGAGCGACCCTGCCTTTCTCCAGTTCCCCGAGTGCAGTAGGATTCAGACTTTGCACTCCCACTCCATGGGATCTGTCCAGTGATGTTCTGTCCTTTGATTTCTTGAAGGTACAGGCATTGTGCCCTCATTGAGAACACGAACATGCAGTTCCCAGCTGGATACATTCTGTGTGAGTGTTTCCCTGGCTCCTGATCAAACACAACAAGGACTCTTCAGCTGTTCTGACCTGGCATTACGGCGCCAACCAGCAGCAAAGGAGCAAGTGCCAGCCCGAAGCAGTCACTGTCCTTTAAAGGAGCGGCTGCAGTGGGAAACTGTGACTCTGTGTGAGCAGTGTTTCTCTGCCTTTCTCACTACTGATTTTATCCTGCAGCAGTTAGCTCGCTATGGGTACTGTTCCCCAGGGGCTGCCCCTTCCCACTGTTGAAACACAGCTCACAGACTCTTCGAAAACAAGAGCAGGACTAAACTACTCAGCCCTTGCCTACATTCAGTGTCATGCTTCATACAGCATGGAAACAAACCCTTTGCTCCAACTTTTCCATGCTGATCAGATACCCTAAATTCATCGAGTCCCATTTGCCAGTATTTGGTCCCTCTAAAGCCTTCCTATTCATATACCGATCCAGATGCCTTTTAAATGCTGTAATTGTACGAGCCTCCACCACCTCCAGGGAAAACAGCCCCAACCTGTTCAGCCTCTCCTTACAACTCAAAGCCTCGAGTCCCGGCAACATCCTTATAAATCCTCTCTGCACCCTCTCAAGTTTAACAACATCCTCCCTATAGAAGGGTGACCAGAATTGTACACAGTGTTCCAAAAGTGGCCTAATTAATGTTCTGTACAGCTCCAGGAGGCCGGTACAATTACAACATTTAAAAGGCATCTGGATGGATATGTCAACAGGAAGGGTTTAGAGGTTTCTGCTCCTGTGACCCAGGGAGACTGACGAGGACAATGGGCTATGGAGTGGGGGGTGGGGGGGTGGCGGGTGGTGGCATTTAGTGGGTAATGTCCATCTTGCTGCATTTACCTGGATCAGGCTGACAGTATGACTTGTGATTCTGTGTCCACAGGGCGACTGACAACAGCAAGGTGCGAGAAACAGTGCTGCTGGAACTGAGTTTTGTCAATTCAAACTTGCAGCTGCTGAAGGAGGAGCTCGAAGGGTTAAACAGCTCTGTCGAAGTTTATCAGAACGAAAAGTGAGTTCTGAAACCACCTGATGGGTCAGGCTTTTATAAAACCACCATCAGCATCAAAATCAACATCCCCACCATTACCATCACACCATTACCATAGGGTGGCACAGTGGCTCAGTGGTTAGCATTGCTGCCTCACAGCGCCAGGGACCTGGGCTCAATTTCAGCCTCGGAAAACTGTGTGGAGTTTGCACATTCTCCCCTTGTCTGCGTGGGTTTCCTCCAGGTGCTCCCATTTCCTCCCACCTGTGTAGGTTAGGAGGATTGGCTGAGCTAAATTACCCATAGTGTCCAGGGACGTGCAGGCTGGGTGGGCTAGTGATGCGAGAGGGGTGTACTAGGGATAGGGTGGGTCTGGCTGGGGTATTTGTTGGAGGGGCGGTGTGGACACGGTGGTACTCCACATTGTAGGGACTCTGTCGTCACCACCACCATCGTCCCAGCTGCCACCGCTGCTCTCTCAATGAGGCTCTCCCCTCGGGTCTGACCAGGTCATCTGTCTGGGGTGGGGGTGTGGTCTGTCTATGATGGGGGTGGGGGCCTGTACGAACAGTGCCCTGATTAAGACCTGCAGCTGGTGTATGTGTGGCTCAGGCTCGAATCGCTGATTCTCTCGGGTTTACCTTTTAGTAACAATTGATCACCATTCAGCCCCTCTCCCTGTCCTGTGCCAATCTCTGTTGAATCCCTCTTCCTTCAGCCTTTCCTGTCTGACTCCGAATGAGTTTTTATCCACAGTCCTGGGACTAATGGGTTTCCTCTGGGTGTAATCCCCCACTATCAACATCCTGGGGGTTATCATTAACCAGAAACTCAACTGGACTCACCACATAAACACAGTGGCTACAAGAGCAGGTCAGAAGCTGAGAACACTCACCTCCTGACTCCCAAAGCCTGTCCACCATCTACAAGGCACAAGTCAGGAGTGTGATGGAATACTCCCCACTTGCCTGGATGAGTGCAGCCCCAACAACACTCAAGAACCTTGACACCATCCACAAGCAACCATTCCCTCCCCCACTGACACTCAGTAGCAGCAGTGTGTACCATCTACAAGATACACTGCAGAAATTCATCAAAGATCCTCAGACAGCACCTTCCAAACCCACAACCACTTCCATCTAGAAGGACAAGGGCAGTAGTCATATGGGAACACCAGTCCGTACAAGTTCCCCTCCGAGCCATTCACCATCCTGACTTGGAAATATATCCCTGTTCCTTCACCGTCACTGGATCAAGATCCTGGAATTCCCTCCGTAATGGCATTGTGAGTCTGTGTACAGCACCTGGACTGCAACGGCTGACCCCCACCTTCTCAAGGGGTGCAACTAGGGATGGGCAATAAATGTTGCCCAACCAGTGACACCCATGTCCTGTAAATAAGTTTTTAAAAACCCTGACTCTGCAAAGGTTAGTCTAACTCCAAACTGCACTCTGGGCTAATCTACCAATTCCTTCCCTCTTTGTGGAAACTGATGTAGAGAGTGAGAGGGAGAGGGGAGGGAGGGAGGAAGTGGGGTGGGGGGTAGGGAGGGAGGAGTTGGGAGTAGGGAGGGAGGGAGAGGAGTCAGAGGTTTGGTAAGAGAGGGGAGAAGGACGCCACTGCTGATAACTGACCTCCGTGCAAGCGAGGCATGAACCAGGGCAAGGAATTTGAGACTTGGAGAGAGGTCCTTTTGCTGAGTGCCCTGAACAAAGGCAGTGTCTGTGCCAGTCTTGCTGGCACTGCAGAGTGGAATGTACTGGCAGGATTCACTCCTTGTCCATTCGGTGCAACTCAGCCTTGTTCAAATCTATCGGATACTGTGATGAAAACCCTCATTGTGTCCTGACCTCACCAACTCCGTCTACATTTCACTGATCGCCGCACAGAAAGATTTTCTATTTTTCCCTTTCTCGCTGTCTCTCTTTTCAAGGCCTCTGCAGCCAGTTTTGTCTCCATTGTCCTTTTCAGTAAATTTGTACTTCACTTCTGATTCTGCAACTTTAACCCTTTAATTCCTGTCCACATACCCAGGAAAATGAAAACTCTTTAATACTAACAATCCATCTTGTACCCAACTGGTTTGGATTTGAATTTGTCTCTTCCCCATCCCTCGCTCATCTTGGCAGGCTGATTGATTTTTCTAATGGGGTTATTTGATGAGAAATGTTCTTTTGAAATTGGATTGACAGTGTAAACCTGCCTCACACTGGGATACCAGCCACAATGTGCACTGTTTAGGTCAGTAATAGATTTCTGCAAAGCCTGTGCATGTGAGAGATTTGTAAACTGACTGTAAGGATGTGCCTGAGTGTGTCTGTTTTATTTTACAGGGCTGCACTCTGCTTTCCCCTCATTCCACTGGGACTGAAAGAGACAAAGGAAGTTGACTTTGTGACGTCCTTGAGGGTAAGGCCAGAGTTACACTGGTTGTCAAGGAGACAGTTTCCTGGGCAACTATATTTCTGTTTATCCTTGATTTCATGTCCAAACTTCAAATTAGATCTTGCATTTCCACAGCACCTTTCACCATCTCAGGGCATTCCAAAGGACTGATGTGTGATCTAGGTTGTAGAGCAGGAAATCAGGCATCCAATGTGAGCACAGCAAGATCTCACAAACAATATCATTGGACCTCTTTTAAAACACAACATTGTGTGTGTGGTAACAGTTGGATGGGGAAGAGCTCCCTGTCTGGGATTATTTTTATGGCCATCTGAGGAGACAGACAGGTTTTAAAATTTAAACAAAAGATCTCAGTCATCATTAACTGGTACATTTTCCATGGCAAAGCCTCTACCACATGCCAACAACTCTGCACCCTCCCCTCACACAGAATCAATGTCATTTTCCCTTCACTATGGGTTTTCTTGAAAATTATTCTGAGTGCAAGACAAAAAGCTTGTACAAAATGTGTCTCTTGTCAGCAATATTCCAGTTCTATACCAAACATGAGTGATGAAGGTGATATATAAATGCAGGTGGTGGATATTGTTGAGGAATCCTGTTTTACTGTGTGTAGTGAATGTAAATACTGGGCCTTGGAGGAATGTTGTCTCTGTGAACCTGCAGGTAGGTCGAGGTTCACTCTGCTGTACATTCCCATGATGTGGACAAAGCAGTTGCTGCTAGCACAGACACACATCCATGACCTTCCTGTGAGTGACCAATTCGATTTCCTGTTTGTTGACATTCAAATGTTAATCCACTGCCTACTGACCTGCCCATTAACTTAGGAACAGGCCATTCAGCCCCTCAAGCCTGTTCTACCATTCAATGAGATCATGGCTGATGTGTGGCCTAACTCCATATAACCCGCCTTTGGCCCATATCCCTTAATACCTTTGCTTAACAAAACTGTATCTCCCTCAGATTTTAAACTAACAACTGATCCAGCATCCACTGCCGTTCGTGGAAGAGGGTTCCAAACCTCTCCCATCCTTTGTGTGTAGAAGTGCTTCCTAACATCTCTCCTGAATGACCTGGCCCTAATTCTCAGACTGTGAGTTGGGTTTGTAATGGGAGCTGTCTCTTAACTCAGTGACCTTTGGGCGAAGGATGAAATTGGGAAGGGGCATTAATCACTGGGGGCAATGGGAGCATATCTGGAGCAGAATAGAGATGTGTATGTGGTGAATTGTTCCTGTGGTGATGTGATGTGATGCTGCTCTTCCTCATGTTTGTTTGATTTCACCCACATGAATTTTCATCAGTTCTCTGACATCTTCAGTGTGTCTGATAAGTGCTTTATGTTTCTGTTTCCCACAGGATTTCATCGAGGAGCACTACGGTGAGGATCCAGCAGAATATGAGGACGAGATCCTGGATCTTATGGACCTGCGGCAGGTTAGGACTCATATTGTGGGAGAATTGTGTTGGCTCTTCCATGTACAAGGGAGACCTGTGCCAGCCATTCAGAGGGAAGCCAGTGTCCTGTAACATGTACATGTTACTCCCTATTCCCGAAAGAGTCGTCTACAGCTGGAGGACCAGGCTGGCCATGTGTTGGGGAGGCAGTGGTGCACTAGGCTAGTAATCCAGATTTCCAGGCTCATGTTCAGGGGGCATGGGTTCAAATACCACCCTGGCAGATGAATTTGAATTCAGTAAAAATCTAGTCCCATGGTGACCATGAAATCATTTGTCAATTGTTGGGAAAAACCCTTCTGGTTCACTAATGTCCTTTAGGGAAGGAAACTGCCTCCTTACCTGGTCTGGCCTACATGTGAATCCAGACCCAGAGCAATGTGGTTGACTCATAACTGCCCTCTGGGTAATTAGGGATGGACAATAAATGCTGCCTAGCCAGCAACGCCCTCATCCTGTGAATGAATAAAGGGAAAAAAAAATTCAACACTATGCCACAGCAACGTGGTTGGCTGTTCATACTTAGGGTTGGGCAATAAATGATGGCCTACCCAGTGACGTCCACATCATTTAACCAAACAAAAATATCCAGGTCATCTCCCCGAAAACTCCTTCAGTGAGGGCATAAAAGCCAAAAGCATCAGAAATAGGAGGAGGGTCAGCCTCTGCAGCCTTCCACCCTTCAATAAGGTCATGGCTGCTCTAGTTATAGACTGAAACCCCATTTTCCTGTGCCCCCATAACCCTCACAGAGCAAGAATCTGTCCAAGATGGCCTTGAATATGCTCAATAACCCAGCTACCCCCCCTTCCCCTCTGCAACTCACTGTGTGAGAGAATGCCAAAGGCCACTGACCCTCTGAAATGCCTCCTCACCTCCAGCTTTCTTTGAAACAGTCTCCCGGCAAAACTAAAGAACTGATCGTTGACTTGAATGGAGGAGAGCCTGCAGACTAGCCTCCTGTGATTATGATACACCTTTCGAGCAGAGGTTTGTTGACGGTGATCAGTCGGAGGTCACTTTCTGCCATTCACGTTCAGGTTGGCCAATCCAGAAAGCTGGATTTCATTAGGGATCCTCTCAATGTGTCAGCCGTCCATTTTCTGAGTTTGTTAGAGAGAGAACTGTGCTGAAAATCTAAACCTTTCCGGGACTGTGAGCAAAACTGCAGTGTTGGGGCAGTTGGGAGTTGACAGTGTAAAATCAGGGGAGCAGGAGGCTCTCAGTCCCTGAAGGTCACTCAGGAAGCAGTTACATTGTTAACAATACAATTCCTTTGCTTAATTCAAGGCCAGATTTCATGAGTTCAGTTTCACATCTAATGGGGAAATCGTATGACTCACTGGATTGTTCTGAAATGGCTAGCATGTGAATGGCTGGCTGAATGACCTCATGCCAGGCACAAAATTGACAGAGACATGTCTCCCTTTATGGGTGAAACCATAACTAGGGTCCCCCAATATGTGACAATCTCAAACAAACCCAATCGGAAAATCATTCCTTCAGAGAGCGGGGAGAAGGTAGGGGACACAGCAACGGGGAGAGGTGGAGGTGAATTGCATTGATACATTTAAAGGGGAAGCTGGATAAACATGAGGAAGGGAATAATGGAAGAATTTACTGATGATGAGAGATTGAGCAGCATGAGAGGAGATTCAGCTGGACCATAAACACCAGCACAGACTAGACAGGCTGAATGGCTGTATATCCCATGATGCTAACTTTCCATGGGGACAGCTGGATGTTCCCTCTTGGGTGATAGGTCCAGCACCTGTAACATTCCAATCCAGATGGACATAAACATCTCTCAGAATTGTTACAGCACAGAAAGAGGTCATTCAGCCCATTCTGCCTGCACTGATAGAACGCGACTTCTTAGTGAAGTGTTTGAGTCGGAGAGAGGTTCTGGGCCTCACTGCACTCCCTCTCCAGCTGCCTCATCCCAGACAATGTGGTTGACTTGCAAGTACCTTCTGAAATGGCCAAGCAGGCCATTCAGTTGTACCAATTGTAACAAAGTCTCAACAAAAAAGTGAAACAGGATAGACCACCTGGCATCAACCTAAGCACCGGAAAAGACAATGGCAGAAACAACCCCGAACACCCTGCAAAGTCCTTACTAATATCTGGGGCTAGTGTCAAAATTGGGAGAGCTGTCTCACAGACTGGTCAAGCAACAACCTGACATAGTCATACTCACAGAATCATACCTTACAGACAATGTCCCAGACACCACCATCACCATCCCTGGATATATCCTGTCCCACCGGCAGGACAGACCCAGCAAAGGGGGCGGCACAGTGGTATATAGTCAGAAGGGAGTTGCCCTATGAGTCCTCAACATTGACACTGGACCTCTTGATGTCACATGCCTTCAGATTAACCCTGGGCAAGGAAACCTCCTGCTGATTACCACGTACCTTTCTCCCTCGGCTTATGAATCAGTACTCCTCTGTGTTAAAACAACACTTGGAGGAAGGGGTGGCAAGGATGCAAAACGTATTCTGGGTGGGGGCTTTCAGTGTCCACCATCAATAGTGGTTTGGCAGCAGCACTAATGATCAATCTGGTCACATCCTAAAGGACATAGTTGCTAGAGTGGGTTTGCAGCAGGGCATGAGGAAACTAATGAGGGAAAACATAATTGACCTCCTCCTTACCAACCTGCCAGCTGCAGATGCATCTGTCGGAGACAGTATTGGTTAGAGTGACCAACATACAGTCCTTTTGGAGACTGTTGTGTATGTAAATTGGATGCTGCCCCTTTAAGAGAACCGGTCAGGTGACTCGCAGGGGTGAAGCCGGGGGCTCAGTCTAGAGCCGGCTGTGAAGATGTCAGCATCTAAAAAGTGTTCCTGTTCACAGTTTCACCTGTGCCTACCTGATTTGGAATTCCAGCTTAAAGAGAAAGTAATCAACATAACAGAGACAGGTGTCAGAATAACCTGCAGATCATCTGAAATCACCAGCACTAACACAGTCTGGATAAAGCTCCTTGGCTTTGTTGCTGAGAAAGGGGCAAACTCTTCACTCTGAATGAGCACACAAACCCAGGAGGGACAGGAAAGGCCCCTCCTCACTGTTGTGTAGCTTTGCCCGTGTTTTGGTGTTTGATTGAAATGTGTCCTGTGTCTACAGGCTGCCCGCACTCCGAGTCGGAATGATCTGGGTGTCGAGCTGCTTATATCATACTACAACCAGCTCAACTTGTTGGAGAGTCGCTTCCTACAGCCTAACAGACACCTCGGTGTCTTCTTCACCTGGTAAGGGTCAGTGCCCCTCTCTCACTTCCTCACTTCCCCCACTACAACTTCACTGAACATTCACCTTAAACCTGTCTTTCCAGCCAGCTCACAGCATGTCTTTACCTTTATCTTAATGAGAATGTTAATGTATTTGGATAGTTCTTGAACCACTTCCACCTTGGAGTAAGAACATTGTGCATTTATATCACGTTCCACACATGAACACTACATTGTAAATAGAGCGCCAAGGGAGCGCCGCGCTGTCGGAGGGTCAGCGCCGAGGGAGCGCCACGCTGTCGAAGTGCAAAACTTTAAACTGGGATTCTATCTGTGTGCTTGATGAGGGGTGTTAAGGATCACAAAGTCACTATAGGGTATCTGGACCTATATGTATCCCTCAAAAGGAAACAGCTCGTCTGTTCAGGTGCATTGCAGTGATTCAAGAAGGCAGCTCACCACCACCTTAGCAAGGGTAACTAGGGGCAAGCAATAAATGCTGTCAGCAATGCTCACATCTTGAAAATTTAAAAATTAATGCTGCGTTTCCATGGAGTCCTCCAGTGTAGTGAAGCAGTGAGTGTGTCTCAGTTGGTTTGATATGAAACGCTGCAGTGTTACAGGAGGTTTTGTGTAAAAGTCTAGTTTCTTTCCCCGTTGTAAGAATTGAATTGTTACCCCTCACTGTGACTGTGATTTGACTGTTTCCATTATTACTAGGTATGACTCGTTTACTGGTGTGCCTGTATGCCAGCAACACCTATCTCTGGAGAAGGCCAGCATACTGTTCAATATTGCAGGCCTGTACACTCAGATTGGCACCCGCAGTGATCGCAAGACCCAGGCTGGTCTCGACAGCTCCATCGACGCCTTCCAGAAAGCAGCAGGTCAGAATTCACACTGACCCTTCCCCCGACCCCTCACTCCCATATCCCAGCCCCTCTCTTCCTGCCATCTTCACCCAACCCACTTTGCTACTGACACGCTTAATCTGCGTTTATTCAGCAGGGTAAGAGTGTGTAGCTGTATAGGGTCAGTGTTTATTCAGGAGGGTAAGGGTCACTCACTGTAACTGTACAGAGACAGTGCTTACTCAGCAGGGTACGGGTCACTCACTGTGTA